GCATCCAGAAGTTCACAGATTCAATTCCTAGTGATCTTCTCTAGATATTTGAGATGAAAGCTAGTCAGAAAAACAGGCTGTTATTTATTGGGTGAAGTTTAATACCACTCTTACGGATCGACACTACAACTGCTTCCTTCAAATCATGTGGTATCCTCCACTTACGAGGAGACACGTCATAAAAACCGGAATAGGAAGCTGGGGGTGTCCACAATCGGCTTGATAATAGCGGGGTGCGCATTATCGGCGCCGGGTGCTTTGTATGAGTGTAAGTCATTTAGGGAGAACATCCAAAGCAGTTATGACGAGTTCGTCTATTCTGCATTTGATCTCACGATGCAACTGCAACGTTATTGATACACATGTCTGCTCAACGAAGATGCTGGAACATCTGCATCGCTTTAAGTAGGTCTCCCGTAGCCTGTTGCCTATCTGTTGTGAGCAAATTGCCTACTACTTCCCTTAAAGCATCGTTTGTCTAGACTTAGATGTAATAACGCTTTGGATTCCCTCTTACGTTTTGCACTACCCTAAGCTCATGAGAGTATTAGGCCTGCCACCTCAGTTTGATCACAAAATTCCGAATTCTTCTGTAAATAGGCCAGCTGCGGAAAGTCATGGACTCATTAAATCTTATGTAAGGAATACTTCGACAAATTATCACACAATCGATAGGTTAGCTCCCCTCCTGATGCTTATCGGATTGGAGCCCTTTGCACAGGAGAGCGAACTCCTCTAGAAACATTTGGGGCCACAATTGATAAAGTACACCTCTTAGCTAGTGTTGCTTTCTTCTGTTTAGAAACCTAGGTAGCGTTTGCTGCTCTATCACTCAGATGTGTGGTGACAATCTGGCTTAGATTCCGCGTCAATCGGGGTTAAGCTGATTGCATCGGTACCCAAACGGAGAGGGAAAGAACGAAGTGTTAGCTCTTACCTATAGGAGGCTCAACATTAATGGACGAGAGCAACCATACTTCGTGCTTACTGCATCTAAGAAGTAAGGAGCTTTTCGCTATGACTTCAATTTACAAAATTAACATGTGCACAAGGGCGTTTTCGTAAACCCACTATGCTATGTCGTCCTGCAAAGAGTCCGCTTTATTGGGTGCATGCTCGCAGTTGGCATGCGGTAGTTTCAGACAGCCTACGGTCACAAATCTGGCGCAGAAAGCGCAGCCTCTTTTATTAGATCGCTAAGCTTTTTGTCCTCCCATCGTGTAAATGATAGGCCGCTATAAACCAAAGCAATCAATTCAAAATTCAACCTGCACCCTCATTAAGCAAGAAGTAATCTGAACACTCCACGTGCACATGGGGACTGTAGTGGTACCTTATAAGGAAGAGCTCTCCATCCCATTTGGATACCCAGGACGGTCTTTATGTCTCAAGAGAAGCACGCAAGCAGGCAATCACTTCTTATGTCATGGGATGAGACTCAAGTCTCTGTGATTGTAATAAAGTGGGCAGGACCTTAACAGATCGCCAGCTCACCCCACTTGTTCTTCACGTTAAAAGAAGTTGTTCCCTAAATATTCATCAGCGTTTGCTGCAGTTGCACTCCGCCGTTAGCCACACTTGTAAAATTCCTCTCGGATGTAGAACCCGAGGGGTATCAGGATTTTGATGAAAATTACAGTAGTTGTGACTGGCAATTCTACCGTGTCCCTCGGAGCCAAAGTGGGCGACTGTATGTCGCTCCGTGAAAGGCTAGCATTTACTTTACTTGCTCCCCTTGTTTTGACCGCCCTGTTAAAGATTCTTTTGTTCATGTTATACGTACTGAATTAAATAAACAATGCAGTTGTTTAAAATATTTGCGTGATGACTTAAAAAGCAATTGCATAATATTAACTATGGCAACTCTCAATATAGCCTGAATATGGCTTTCCTTCTGCCATATACTTCTTTGGGATATGGGAATAAATCAAAGAAGGCTACGCGGAAATTAAAATTCGACAAAGGAATTAGGTTAGATTATTAACTTAGAACAATTACAGATCTTTAGATGGTGGCTAGAGATCCCACTAGAACAAATTCACAGCTACCTGCGAAGAAATAATGCATTATATTAACCGCCTTTCTGCTCATAAAAGGGTGATGGCGAATAATATTATATAATTAAGAATATAACATAAGTAAGGTTTGAGTTTTGCTTTCTCTCTCTGCTTGTCTTTTTGTGTAATAAATACTTAGGACATGCATCTAAATGATCACGATATATTTCGATGTATTACAAATTCCTATTAAATGCGATGTCATCTTCCACTTTATGGTTTTGTCGATAATATTACCGGTTTATATTTCAATGTGCTTCAAAATATCTTACTTGAAATGGTTGTTGGGTCTTGGCAGTATCAAAGCAAGGATTGTTTCCAAGGTTTCAGGCATCTGGCAGATGTAATCGCCATGTCCCTTACCTTCTGCTTACTCGCTCAGTCTGAGTCCTTTCTTCATATACTCGAACAAGAATTAGGATAAGTATGTGTATGTAAGGTCAATTTCGAATGGAGCGAAATATCAATGAGCGTATATGTGGCTGAAAATATTTAACACTTTTAATAACCAAGTTCTAGATATAAATTCAAAATCAAGTCAGCTTGGTGTTTAGCATAGTTTCACACAAAACATTTACTTCATTGCTGAAAATGCAATATGACAGCATGCACCCTGAAAAAACTTGGAAATTAAAACGCAAGATTAAAATAATTGGCAAAGCTAAATGAATGCCGTTGCATATTTCGTCAAACAACCTAAGGCACATTTATTCACTCGATATGCGAACCGAAATTTGGCCAACCAGGGTAGCATCCGTTTCCTATCACCTCACGATTCAACCCTGCTTGTTTTCATCAGGTAGATTTGGCGTGCTTTGAAAGTAGACCAATTGAATGCACGTTAAAACATCTACACTTCTGTCAATCTGGTAAGGGCAAGCCAAACTTGGCACGACTGATAATAACAGATTAAAGGATACTTTAAATGCTTTTTGTTTGACTGCAATGCGAGGCGCAACCGCAATGTGTTCGTGAATTCCACTAAAGCAAATTTTGGATAATTTGAGTAATCAGACCTTAGTTCGCGCATATGGAAATTTGGTACTGCCTTTCGGAAACACCGCACTGTACTTCATGCTTCTATCCTGATTGGTATCATCAGATATACATAACATGTCATGTACCTAATGTGGGCAGATTTAGTCGAAACGCCTCGTGATTTGCAGTATTTTCTAGATGGCATCAACGATTTACCATACCCTATGGCCCTGGTCCTACAGCTCGAGTTGATTCCCTTTCGATTCAATTCGTATGGCTGTGTTTAACTTGCATAATTCACGGTGGTAAAACGCTTTGACTCAGACCTTCATTGCGCGGGAAGCTCATGAAATTATCCCAAAGCGACTGGGACAAACAGGTCTGGATGTGTTTTTCATACGAACTCATGGCAAAAATCTGTAAAATGTTTCACTCCTCTATTCCTTGTTTGAACTGGCTACGCTACATTCCGCAACATGTTATTTGCTACCATACATTTTCTATGTATCAATCAAGATGATCTGGAATATTATGGTCTTAAATTAAACACTAACAATGAACTTATGATGCTGCAGTGACCTATGCGAAATCGGTACATAAGTATGCATCATGTCAATATATCTGATGGGCAACGCTATTTACAACACAACAACTTACATACGCATGCAGGTTTTGAGCATGAAACATCATGCATGTTTGTGTTAAGGTTCACCAAACATAAGCCTCACAAATGAATTACATTTCGTCCCCAATTTAACAACGTAACTAATTTAAGTACGTCGCATAACATGCCACAAACAAAGTTATCTAATGCTATGAACATAGAAAGTACACACGGCCTGTACAGAGGCCCGTCGGTAGAAGATTTTCTAATCCGTTAACCGTTGTGTTATTTAGAATAAGGTACAAACAGGGCTGAAGGCATGTATTGCTACTTGCAGTTAGCCGGCTACAATTAATAACTGTGTCAACTATACCAGTTTCTGAATGAAGGAAGTGTTATTGCGGCATACAACCAAACTACATGAGACAAATTACTAACGGTAGCTTATTGCGCATGTACTGGTTACAATAGTGATCAGGACAGGTGACACTAACTATTAATAAGATCATCTAACCATCAAAAGGTGAATAATCCGCCTGCTGCACGAAAATAACTTACGTTGGCATTCAAACTTCCCAGGATATCAAATTATTTTGTTTTTATTTTTTTGTCCTTTCATTTCTTTCGGTTTCGATTCCTTCTTTAGTCTCGCCTGACAATTCTTTATTATATTTCGTTGTTCGCACTGACTCCTTGAACGACTGTTTCTTGCCGCAGAAATTTTGATTTAGGAAAAATACTGACCATAGCTACTCGACCTGCTTCTTGTGGCTCTTTCCCTTTTTCTGCCGATTAATAGTTTGTTCATGTAAGAACCAAGTATATTCGCGAGTGACAGATGCAAAACTCGCAGTCAGCGCAATAATATTCGAAACGATGATTGTGGTTTAAGCAAGCTACACGTTCAAAAACGTCGTGTTGCCCTCTGCTGTCGCTGACACCAGCTCAAGCTTGGTAGTTCTTAATAGAAAACTGTCATGTTTACGGAGTCAGGTAGACATTTGGTCGAATTATGATACTTTACCTCGCATACTTTTGTTTTATGGGTGAACATACAAAAATTGTTTCGCCGCCTTTAATTCAGAGGAGGGAATTTACAGTTACATCAAGATACCGCTTATTGGCAGGATCCAAAGATCCGTCCAAATGAAAGTGCGTAGACCAAGTAGAAGAAATCTATAGTAAATAGCTTGAATATTGCTAATACAAAAATAACATACGGATGGATTATTGGTGATGCAATAGCAATGACATGGGACAAAAGCCATAGACTTGGCAAATACTAACTATTCGCAAGTTTAGGATAATTGACATGGAGAAAGCTGGTGATGCGTAATAATCAAAACCTTTTGCTGCACAAAATGGCAAGTGGGAAGTTGACAGAACCCATTGTTCACCAGATGACAACCAAACCTGATTATCGTGCATTCGCTGCGGCGGCATATGACAGGTTGGTGCATTTTTTAATAGATCTGGCCTAAATTTTGGAGTAAAAAATATGCATGAAGCGTTTTACCAGTTGTTGCCTTTCAGATCACATAGCTTTGTCATTGAATACCGGTTCGTAAGCAAATTTGCACTTTTGCTGTACTGCAAATATATTCTCTAGTGAAAAAGCGGAGTCCCATGTGTGCAGTTCCTTAACTCACAATGCGACTTTGGCCCGAAGGGCGGCTGAACTTTGTCTCTCAGATTACGGTGACGCCCTTCTGGACGCTACTCATCATTCAACGGATGATGGTAACTCCTCGTCTTCTAATGTCAGTGATTTTCTGTACGATGCGGGACAGCTTCCAGGTCAGTTGCGCCTGCCTGCACGTTCCATCTCTCGTTCTGGTGTTTATTTGCTAGATACTGGGGAGATTATCTTTCTACTCATTGGATCTCAAGATGATTCAGCTTCTGGAGCCGTAGCTTCATCGGGAACGGTGCATCAGCTTCTTGGTGTCCCAATACCAAACAGTGTTATTTTCTTCTTACCTCCCATCGTTGTGACAAACGGCGAATCGGATGTGCCGTTCCGGCTGTGCCGATTGTCAGCCTTGGTTAATCTTCTTCGTCAAGGTCGGCCCATTTCCAACGCTCTTGTATGCATCTGCCATGATGCCCCTGCTTCTTTGCGAACTCGTTTCATTTCCAACTTATTAGAGGACCGAACAGAATATGCCCCTTCTTATCAAGAGTTCTTACAAGTGGTGCAATCCTTTATGAAAGGCTAGATCACCTTGTCTAACGCTTTGTCGCCGAATGTTTTCACCCTTGTGCCTTCAAAGATGCCGCTGGTGAAGTCGGTGGTGATCTAGTGGATGGCGTGTTCCACACATATTTCGGCCTCACTGACTTCTTTCCGGATGTGATCGCTTGACTTCGTCGTTCGCCACCGTCCTAGATGCCGTATCTGAAAAATAAGCCCCATATTGTTTTGTCTACTAGGAAATTCAGCTCGGTGGCTCTATCAGTTGTCTTTTCTACCTCCCCAGCATAGAACTTGAGCACGTGGCGGAGGAGCGGTTCTGTTTTTAGCTTCTGGCGCCGCCCGGTTTTTCAGTGGTGGTGTTTACCATTATCCGGACTTTTACTGTCCTCCAGGGACCACTTCAGGGCTTTCAACAAAATCATCAAAAGTGCATGCCGAGGCAGAATCGAGGTGCGTTCACAACGCAGCGAGCCTGACTACTCAGCAACTGAATAAACAATCCGTCAATAGTACCATCACATTGGAGTGCTTCCGACTTGATTTCGACCGTTACCTGTCCGAAAAATTGGATTCGTAGCTGTTATGCGTATTCGCTGTACGCATGGGCTATCCATTCAAGCGTTTCACGGATCGTTCTTCGTATGTTCGACGGACCTCATGTCTCGTCCAAAGGTGAACCCGGATGCGGGTTTCGCTATACAGTTAGGAATTTCGGAAAGTGTGGAAAAGTTATCGACTGTTTGTTGTCAGACGGCAATTCTGTACACCTCATCCAAAGGCGACAGAGGGATTCGAGTTCACACACTGTGTTTACCGGTCGTGCATACTACTTCAGAAGTCTTTTTGGGTGCGGACCAGGGCGCTATTGCTTGTCTTATCGGTAAAATGGCTGTTGATCGTGCCATAAATTCCTCTCTGGTTAAAGCACGCGAAGCTTTGGCTAACGCACTTGCTGACTTTTTATCGGCTTACGCGTCTTCCATTGGAATTACATCGGATGTCAGCATTTCATCCTACTGCATGGCCTGTCGGCCCAGTCTGCGCTTACTTCCTCTCTATCTATGGGGCTTACTACGTCACACCGCCTTCAGAGTAGGCGTCCCTGTTAGAATCGACGATCGATCGACAGCCTTGGAGCGTTTGAAATCTGCTCCACCGGAAGAGATGCTCACTTTACACTCAACCAAAATAAGAACAACAGTATTGCAAATGGAAGTTTAGTAGACGCAATGGCAATAGTACATTGACAGTCCACACAGGGTACAAGGTCAACTGTTTTCGAGGCATTTATCTAATTCCTGAAGACGCTCAAACAGTGCTTTCTTCTTTTTCCACACATATATCTCGTTGGCCAACTCTGGGATGACAAGGTACGTTCGTCACCCAACAGTATTCTTTGACTTCAAAATATCACCAAAACTGTGATCTCCAACGTATAAGACATCCTTTCCTCTGGCTCCGATCAGGTTAGAGAACACTTCACAAGACCCCCCAGAATAAATCTGGCCTGTCTGCAGTGCACCCATATGATGTCTGATGCTGCGCTGTCCGGTAACTTGAGCAACCACACGAAGGATAGTTCCTTCTTGGAAGAAATCTGGCTTTTTTGCATCTATCACGATGTAGTCAAATTAGGAGATCCACTTTCGGATAGTGCCGTCCGGTCTTGGAATCTCCAAAATATGGGTCATGATGGCGTTAGTGTAATCGAATCCGCGGTTGGCAAGTATAAACATCTTGGCTCCATTGCTCCGCAAACGATCAAGCAGAGTGCATAGACGATTGTCCTGATCCAGATAACAATGCAAATCAGCCAAAGTACGCCATTTCAGCTCACCATGATGCATCCAGTCTCTTGCTGCCCTAACATCCTCATAAATGGAAGTGTAAGACATGTGCAAATTTCCCTTCATCACACCTTTTTCCTGAAGCACGTGCGATGGATCCGTGTTGAGGAAGTGAATAATGCACGATAGCATGTGAATTTCTGGTAAACTGAACAACATGTTCATAATTTCTATGCGTTTTTCGTCATATTTTATAAATTTATTGGGGTACATCGCCCGCTATTGTTCGCCCTGAACGAGCATGAATCCTCTCAAACAACGGAGCACGTTGCCAAATTGGTCGATCTTGAGAAACGTGCCACACATCCGATCGAACCATAGACCACACAGAGGAAACGCATGCTCGTACTGGAACGAAAGAATCTCTTCCCGGTAGCCGATATGGACCAATCGGTGTTTGAGTAAATCGAAATCAAGTTCCTCGTATGAGGGAGATTTGTACAGAGCAAGCGTATAATCCATATCGAAATCAATGAAACGGATAGTATCTAACTGCTAACTACGGTTGACGAATATCCTGTGCTTCGTTTCTCGTTTCTCTAAACGGGGCTTCAGTCCAGAGTCCTTCATCAAAAAGTTATGGTCAAGCATCATAATCAGAATAAAACGCAAGTGAAATGATAAGCAGTTCAGTTGAAATGGACAGGCTTTCATCATACTAACCTAACAGCCTGTGCACAATTTCACGAATTGAATCAGGGACAGCTGTATGAAATTTTTAGCGGCCCACAGTTGCACAAAAGCCTTGAGTTTCTCGTTTGCCCATAGCTGATTATCGAATAAATTCAATTTGCTTTTGCATGCCGCTGTTGTGCCTACACGTACCCTAGTCCCCTGCACGGAGGGTCTTGAACAAGCTCGACCAAAGCCCCCAACGAGGAAGAAGAACTATATTGGTACGCAACACAAACTTCTATTCACGCCAACGGTACATACACTCAGTACATTCAAAACAACCCTGGTATTGAAATTCAGTCGGGTTAAGAGTTCGATCTCGCGAGGGTAAATCGATGAGTTTCACATTGAGTGTTGCTTCGTGATCGTTCGCATTGAATTTGGCGAAGGCCGGTACAGTGCATTCCGAGATGAGAAGATATCAGAACAAACAGGCAGAGTACCCGAAACATTTCCTTTGCGTGACCCAGTGTCGAGTACTTTCGAGTGTCGCTGAAGACAACACGCCACAGCCGCGCATTGAGTTGGACGATGCATTAAGACAGACTAAGGAGAACAGCCCTGATCCAGCGTGGGATCAGGAAGAGCGGGGAAATTCGGGAAATCGGCAAGCTTTTCGGGCACTGAGGGTACACTGGGAATTTGGCGGCTCCATACATCATTTGAGGTTCCGGAGGCCAGATGTAGCCTGGCAGTGTCCAGCGACCAGGATTTTGCATGTGCCACTGATAAATTTGGATCAGGGCCCAACTTCAAGCTATCTGATACCACAGGAGCAGAAGATACCCTTTGAAATCGCTGAACAGCTGATGAGGTGGCACAGACCGAGTAGAGCGTATCAGCTAATGAGTTATAATAACTCTCTTGTTCTGTTAGGCCAGGCAAGAAAGTTCGTTGAGCAGTGCCCAAAGAAACATCGCTGGGATGGAAAGTGGCTATAGTAGCTGACGTCCGAGTGAAATCCAGTGAGCTATGTAGATGTGTGCTAGGAGAATTGAACGTTCTAGCCCGAGAAGGCGGCTGAGATTGTAGCGAATTAACCTGGAGAGCATCCGCTGATCCATCTCGGATAATATGAAGAGGAGGATGGGAAGCCGTGACTTCCAAATCTGTTGGAGCATGCGAAGGCCGGGTGAATAGACCCAAATCCTGGTCAACATGATCAGCTGTTTTTGGATAACTCCCAAAGGAAGCCCACAGCCGCGAGATTGATTCATCGCGGTACGCGCTTGAAGATGTGTCATTAGCTGCCTTCGAGTAGCTGTTATATAATGCAGTGGTTCCATGATAGACGGAATTGGGGTCCTGAAGGGATATTGGACGGCTTGCATAACAATTCACCGAGTACAACGATCCCGATAAGAGCGGATTTGAAGCGGCGTACTCCACAAAACTTCTCTTCAACGATTCCACTCGGTTACGACGTTGCGCAGTTTTGTGTTCAAAATCAAACGATGAACACAATAGTTCATCCTCACTCACTTACCATTCAGTGACGTGCGAGCCGAGGGAGAATGCTTCAGGGGCGTCAAAAAATTCGTCCTCTGAATCCATTAAGATGAATCGCCGCAACACATTGAGACGGCAGGAGTTGACTGCCAGTAAAATTGGCAAATTGAGGAAAGTACAGTTTCATGCCAATCATGAATAGCAGTGGCCGTATGATTACTAATCTTCAAAACGTATGAACAGATCATCGAGAGGCAGTTGCGGCAACACAGATAATAAAACAGTTATATCAAAAAAACTGTGGCGTACAGCAATTACAAGAAGTGCAACAATCGCATCGAGCATGCACTACTATACACGGCAGCAGTTGATACCCGGTATAAAGGATAATCGTATACGCGAAAAGCTACTTTCCGAAGATCCTTCAAAACATACCTGGGAGATAGCCATAGAGATCGCAAGACAAATAAATGCCGCCGTTGAACATTCGAGCCTATTCAAGTCGAGTGATATACTAGAAGTCAGTAAGATTCAGCACAAGGGTTCCAGTCAACCTCAGAATTCGACTGTTTCATGCTATAGATGTGGGAGTTCTCGCCACAAAGCTGACTGTCAAACATGTCCGGCTCGTACAGCTGAGAATAAAAGCTGTGGTAAACTGGGACACTTCGCCAGATGCTGCCGCTCGCGTCGGGTCGCGTTAATTGACCAACAAAATGATGTTTCCACCTCACCGACTACACCGAATGTTTTTTCTATCAGAAGACGATTACAACCAGAAACACGACGAATTGCTTCGCTGGAACAAAAGCTCCCTGCTCCCGACATACGTACCGTTACACTGCATGGGCTTAACATTTCTGTGCCAGTGACTATGGAGCTAGACTCGGCATCGCCGATAACAATTATCCCGTCCAGCATTTACGACAGTTACCTGCAAGACATTCCATTACATCATACGTCGTATAAATTCGAATCGTACACAAATTCACGTGTGCAAACTCGGGGATATATAATGACGAAACTCAATTTACTCTCAGTTGCATCTGATGTTGCTGTGTATGTTGCCTCCGAAGACAGTCCAGCATTGCTGGGGCGAAATGCTATGGTTGCCCTCAACATAACACCATCTATCGAGCGAATGCGCATAATGACACTCAAAACATCAGTATTTAAAAGCTTATATCCCAAATTATTTACTGAGTCGATTGGCCGGATTCCATCTGCTGCTCAACCAATATGCCTTAAAAGGGACGCTAAACCGTTTTCGATTTCGCGGCCACGTCCTATTCCATTGGCCAAACGAGTTGATAGGGCCAGTTAACTGTTCCGAATGGGTGCATCCCATGGTCACGGTGTTAAAGAAGGACGGTACTGCGCGCATATGCAACGACTTGAAAGCGTTGAACAGTCAGATCGTCGTCGAAAATTTCGTTCTTCCCACATTTAACGAGTTGTTGGTCATGATAACTGGCGCGCGATTTTTCTCAAAACTAAACCTGAGGAAGGCCTTTTTCCACATGCCATTGACACCAGAATCCAGACCACTTACGGCTTTGCTGATATCGAGTGGTCTATTCCAGTACAAAGTCTTGCCGATGGGACTTAGCTCCGCTCCAGCAGCTTGGCAGAAGTTTATGAATCGCTCACTAGCAGATCTACCGGGACAAATCGCTTACATGGATGATATATGCGTTTTCGGGAAATCAAGTGATGAGCACGACTTGAGGCTGCGCGCTGTGTTGCAGCGATTGGAGAGCCTAGATCTTTGGCTAAACCTGGAAAAGTGTGTATTTTGTGCTACGGATGTCGAGTTTCTTGGGTACGTCTTATCAGCTGGTGGAATTAGGCCATGCGCAGCTAATACTCGAGCTATCACGGAAGCCCCTGTACCGAAGAATACATCCGAGTTTAAGCACAATTTTGGTTTTTGCTCGTACAACTTGCGCTATTTGCCCGATTTTGCAACTATAGCGGAGCCATTGAGAATGCTGACAAAAGAAAAAGCTACCTTCGATTGGGGCTCTTCGCAGCAGTCGGCCTTTGAAGAAATTAAAAGACGCCTCGTCTCCACTTCAATGCTGGCCATTTTCGACGAAAACTGCCCAACATTCGTCTCAACGGATGCGTCAAACATCGGTTTCGGAGCGGTCTTGTCTCAAATTCAGAAAGGTGAGGAAAAAGTGATTGCATATGCTACTAGAAAGTTATCCCCTACTGAAGTTTCATATTCCGCAGGTGAAAGGGAGGACTTGCCTGTGTATGAGCCTGTGAAAAATGGCACCTGTATCTGTTTGGTCGGAGATTTACATTGCGCACGGATCATGCTGCTCTAACTACCCTCCTCAGCCGAGGAACCAATGGTCACAGGCCACTACGGATTAACCGTTGGTATGCGCGGTTACTGAACATTGATTTTCAAATCATCTTCCGCCCTCGCTCCGAAAACAGTATGGCAGATAGCTTATCACGTCTCCCATTGGATGATTCCGACAAGAATGAAGACGACGAAGAAAAAGTCATGATTTCTGCTTTACAATTAAGTGAGCTCTCCGCGGTTACCAAACAAGAGCTTCAAGAAGCTAACCGGAGTGATTCATTTGTGCAAGATATCATTCACTATCTCTCTCAAGGCTGGCCTCGCTACGCGAAGTTGAGTGGTGAACCACGGGCGTTTTATGTTTTACGAATTGAGCTAGCGGTCGTTGATGATTGCCTTATGCGAGGATCGCGATTCGTAGCTCCACAGAAACTGACATCAAAAATTATCCAATGTGCACACGAGGGATATCCGGGTATCGTACGGACGAAGCGCCGACTTCAAGAATAATTTTGGTGGCCAAAAATGAATAAAATGGCAGAGGCGTGTGTCCGGTTTTGCGATGCATGTTAGAAGGCCGACAAGAGCTCCAAACCAATCGATGCCCCCATCCAACCCGTTACTTATCCTATGAAAACTTGGTCGAAGGTGGCGATTGACATCATGGGACCGTTTCATTCTGCGCCACAGCACCAAAGGAACTGCTTAGTTGCCACGTGCTATTAGAGTAAGTGGCCGGACATCCATCTGCGTGGCGATGTGACCACCTCAACCGTTATACGGTGGCTGAAACATCTTTTTGCTAGATTTGGGTTTCCTGAGGAAATTATGACAGACAACGGTCCACAATTCACGAACTATGAGTTTAAACGTTTCTTACAACTTCGTGATGTAAAGCACGTACATACCGTCCCGTACAACCCAGCTGCCAACGGCATGGTTGAGCGCATTAATCGCACGCTAAAGGAAACTATACAGACGGCACGTTTGTCCGGCAGGCAGTGGGAAGATGCCGTTTTGGAGGCTCTGTTTACTCACCGAACATCGCACCACAGAACGACTGATAGCACGCCAGGTGAGCTAATGTTCGGCAGAAAGTTGCGTACGAAATTAAATGCAGCTATTTCGGCTGCAGAAAACAACCACCCCCACCAACTGGAACGTCGCCGGGGTTAACAGTCATCCTACGAAAAACGGGCCACATCGCTGCGTCCTGGAACGTTGGTCAGGATAAAGGAGAGGCAAACACGGAAAGGAGAACCGGCACTGACGTGACCCATCAGAATTACTCGTGCGCTAGGTTCAGGAACTTATGAGTTAGCAGACGGCCGACGAGTCAATGCCAGACAGCTATATTCAGCACTTCAACCGAAGCAGTGTCCTGAAGCGATGGCCACCGCAGTGAACCAATCGCTGAAGAGGGGGAGTAGTGTGGCAGCGTGAACGCGCGGGCCTTACCACGACCGCACTTCGTAGCTTGTGATTGGATGCCCGTCCGTTTGCGATAAATACCAGGATTGTTTTGAATGTACTGAGTGTATGTACCGTTGGCGTGAATAGAAGTTTGTGTTGCGTACCAGTAGAGGTCTGCTTCCTCGTTCGGGGTTTTGGTCGTGCTTGTTCAAGACCCTGCGTGCAGGGGACTAGTGTACGTGTAGACACAACCTGGTGTACATGATAGAAAGGCGTGTTTAGACGTAACTTGACACCATGTCCATATTATCAATGATTCCAAGCTATCAACATTTTGTGTCATTACATTTATCAAGCTTCCGGTTTGACGGATATGAAAGTTACCCAGTGGGGATGAAAGGTTATGCGCTAAACCTTGAATATTTGATTTTCTAAAGCATCACTCGCACTATTTGTCAATGGTTCAATGGTTCAATTGCGTATGATGGGATAAAAAGCATCACTTTAAAAGACCCACAGGATGGATATGCAAAGAAAATTAAAAGGAAAATGTTCCAACGTGGAAGGTATAGTATTAGTGGTTAAATCATTGCACTTTAACAAAGTGTTGTGTATCGTTTATCACTAAGATGAAAATCTGTAAGTCTTTCGAATGTCGTCATGTCGGTGCGTTCACCACATAGTTTGGTAATGCATTCCAGTGAAAACAGATTCTAAGTGAGAAAAAATACTTTCTACAATTCAAGCGAGAGTGTTGCGTCATTAGTTCCAGGTGGTTGCCTCGGTTTTGTTAGTATGGGGCTAGAGTCAACAGTGATGTATTTGGATGCTCGCTTTCTGTTAGTATCCGGTAGGTGAGAGTAAGATCTCTGCGAAGCCGTCGGTATTCTAATGAGAACTCACCGAGTACACGAAGACGCATTTCGTAACTTATACCGGATAGTCGACGCGTTGCCTTTGTGGCATTTATTTGGGTCTGTTCCAAGAGACGGATGTCTCGTTTTAACCATGGACACCAGGCCTGAATTGCATATTCAAGATGAGGACGAATGTAGGAGTTAACCAAAAATGGTACTAGCCGCCGCTCAAAAGTGCCGAGAGCTCGCCTCAAAAGTCTCAAGATCAAGTTAGCCACACTTGCTGCTTTCGAACATTGGAGCGAATTTCCAAGACTCTCTTGCACGATGATACCTAAGTCGCGTTCACTAGTCACGTGTGTCATGACGTGTTGCCCCAAAAATATGTGTTGACGAGGCTGTTGTGCACCGTCAGCAGGTGGCACTTTGCAGTGTTCAGTGGAAGCTGGTTCTTTTCTGCCCATTCGTTAATCCGGGTCAGATCTTCTTAGAGGTAGACACGGTCGGATGCTGAG